TGATCAGCAGTGACCCCCGTTTGCGTCCGTCGGCCATGCAGGTCCTCCTGCACCCCTTCTTCTGGAGCCACGAGAAGCAGCTGCAGTTCTTTCAGGTGAGCGTCCTAGAAGGTGGGCTGGGGGGGGTACAAGCCAGGAAGAAATCCAACAGGTGCAGCACCCTCCCAGTGCTGGATTCACCGTGCTTGCAAAGCTCAGGGGGCTTTTAGCAAACTCCTCTGCATCTAGGATGTCAGCGACCGCATTGAAAAGGAGCCGGTGGATGGGCCCATTGTCCATGCACTAGAGGCCAGAGGGCAAGTGGTGGTGAGAGACAACTGGCGGACGCATATCTCCATCCCCCTGCAGACAGGTACAGGCTCTGCTTCTAGGGTTCCTCCTGCCCCCCCCCCCTGGTTCTGACCCACAGGGGGCAGGAGAAAGTCTCCACCCACCGCGCAGAACATCAAATTCCCCTGGAAAAGCAGCTGCGAAGGTGCTCACCTGCGTCATTTCCCTCCTGCAGACCTCAGGAAGTTCCGTACATACAAAGGCAACTCGGTGCGTGATCTCCTGAGGGCCATGAGGAATAAGGTACCTTTGTGTTTTCCCCCATTACCCAGGTGTGTCCCTGCCCTAGAGCGGTGGTTGCTGGTGGGGCAGAAAGCAAGGAGGCCAACAGGAGGTGGAACTAGAAGCTGTGCAAAGGATATGCCTGTGCAAACATACAGCCAGCCTACTGCCTCCTTTCCACGGTGGTTCTGTGCGACGCGCCATGGGTGGCCCTTGACTTCCTTTCTTGGGCTGGGTGTTCATCAGTATGCGGATGATACCCAGCTCTACCTCTCTTTCAAATCGGAACCAGTGAAGGTCCTGTGTGAGTGTCTGGAGGTGGTTGGAGGATGAATGGCAGCTAACAGATTGAGGTTGAATCCAGAAGTACTGTTTTTGGGGGACAGGAGGCAGGTGGGTGTGGAGGACTCCCTGGTCCTGAATGGGGTAACTGTGCCCCTGAAGGACCAGGTGCGCAGCCTGGGAGTCATTCTGGACTCACAGCTGTCCATGGAGACACAGGTCAATTCTGTGTCCAGGGCAGCTGTTTATCAGCTCCATCTGGTATGCAGGCTGAGACCCTACCTGCCCGCAGACTGTCTCACCAGAGTGGTGCATGCTCTGGTTATCTCTCGCTTGGACTACTGCAATGCGCTCTATGTGGGGCTACCTTTGAAGGTGACCCGGAAACTACAACTAATCCAGAATGCGGCAGCTAGACTGATGACTGGGAGCAGCTGCAGAGACCATATAACACCGGACTTGAAAGATCTACAAGGGCTCCCAGTACGTTTCTGAGCACAATTCAAAGTGTTGGTGCTGACCTTTAAAGCCAGCCTAAACGGCCTCGGTCCAGTATACCTGAAGGAGCGTCTCCACCTCCATCGTTCTGCCCGGACACTGAGGTCCAGTGCTGAGGGCCTTCTGGTGGTTCCCTCGCTGCGAGAAGCAAAGCTACAGGGAACCAGGCAAAGGGCCTTCTCGGTAGTGGCACCTGCCCTGTGGAACGCCCTCCCACCAGATGTCAAAGAGAAAAATAACTACCAAACTTTTAGAAGACATCTGAAGGCAGCCCTGTTTAGGGAAGCTTTTAATGTATAATAGGTTGTTATATTTTAGTGTTTTGTTGGAAGCCGCCCAGAGTGGGCAGGGTATAAATAATAAATTATTATTATTATTATTATTATTATTATTATTATTATTATTATTATTCCCTACAGAAACACCATTACCACGAACTGCCCAGCAGCGTCCAGGAAACCCTGGGGGCCATCCCGCGCGGGTTTGTCCAGTACTTCACGTCCCGCTTCCCTTGCCTCTTGCTGCACACATACCAGGCCATGCGCATTTGTGCCACAGAGAGGCCGTTGCAAGCGTATTACCCCCCTCCGTCATGATGGGACCACGCAGGGACATGCAGGCGGCAAATGGCAGGAAACTGATCTCCTTGGAGGATGGAAGAACTGGCTGTGGGGCCCAGGCTGCCCTGTTACGGAGGGGTGATTTCCTCCATTGGTGAGCGGCAGCATCAGCGTACACCAGCATGCTCTCTGGACCATTTGCAGGAGGACCCAGTTCAGCAAAGCCGCTCCAGGATTCCACCATCATTGTGTTTTCGGCAAAGCAAATTTCCTGTAGAGCAGAAAGCACCTTTCGGTAGAAGAACAGTATACAGAGGTGTTCCTTCTCAATCAGACCACTGGGCTGTTTAGCTCATTATCATCTAGTGACAGGCAGTCACTCTTTGGGGTTTCTTAGCCCTGCCTGGAGATGCCACTGATAGAGCATTTTGCAGGGCTTCATGCAAGAGAGGATTACTTTATCTTCAAGCAGAGACAGCATAGGTATTAAGGGGAAGTCCCTGTCTCTGCAGTCTGAAACTCCCTCTAAGCTGCCACTGCAGCAAGGGGGCTTTCTGGAGCAGGTTTCATGCCATGTTTATCAGGGAGGGGTGCCCACCCTCTCCTACAAAGGCCCATTGGTAGGAGAGGGTGGGCATCTCCTCATCTGTCATGGATGCTTTAGCTGAGATTGCTGCATTGCAGGGGGTTGGACTAGATGACCCTTGGGTCCCTTTCCAACTCTAAGATTCTATGATTTCTCCCAGGTAAAATGCAAAAGGGCATTGCTGGCAGATAGGGTCATGTATCACCCTGGAAAAGCAGGGGAGGTACCTGAGAGGTAATGGCTGAGATTAAGCCCTGCAATAGTATTTCCTGGGTAGGTGAGAAAAAAATTGTTCCTGGTAGCTGTATTTCAACTGGGGTGGGCCGGGGGGGTTGGATCTTGGAACAGGTTCTCTGTGCCCTCCAGTTCTCCCTGTAGGAGATCCTTCAGCTCATGGGGGTCCATTACCTGACAAAGGCTGGTGGTGTCAACATGGCTCTGTCAATCTGGCTACTTCCCTCTGACCACTCACATCAGCCACTTGTTAAATTGCTGAGCATACCTGTTCTTGCAACTTGGGTGGTGTTTTATCCTAGCAAGTGACAATTGCTGCAATTTGTAGGTACGCTGGTAGGATGTCTTGCTGGCTCATAATTTGCCTGAGTGTTTTTGTAATGCAATGTTTTTAAATAAAAGATTTTTTGTAAAAGAAACAACAGTATATATTTAAATGTAAAAGCAAAGGAGGCTAGAGTGTTGTGTGTCCCCACCCCCGAGACAGGGGCTTTCTCAGACATTTTGCTTACAGAATCACCTCAATGGCTCAATGTGCAGCGTTTTGGGTTACTGCTATTAACTGGATTTCTTACCAACCCTTCGCCATAAGATACCAGGGTAGCTTAGAACAAAATAAACAATCAGTGCTAAAATCATTTTTTAAAGTTGCAATGGAAATAACAGGGCAGGTCCTATAAACATGCATCTCTGTCACTCAGGCTAAGCTGGTGGTCCTTCAGATGCTGTTGGATTCCAGTCCTGATTATCCCTGGCCTTTGGATGAGTCAGGACAGAAAAAGTACTTCTTCATGCAGTATCTAGTTAAACCAGAGGCTTTCAACCTTTTGGGTCCACGGCTCCCTTGAGCAACTACATTGTTTCTGCGGCACCGCTGTGGGGCTCAGGAGCCCAGTCATGTCACCCCTTGCCTGCAGTCAGCAGCCTCTCACCCTCCCTTATGCAGTGTTCTCCTCGCCTCCTCTCTTCTCCTTGGGAGTCCTCTGGGCAGCCCCAGCTGCTGCCCCTGGTCTATGAGGTGCCTCTTCACACTGCTCTGCAGGGGCCTGGGAAGCACCCCCTGGCCAGCCCCAGCAGCATCATTCACCCGGGGAGCTTGTAGTCATGCGAGCCTTTGGGAGGCAGAAATGCAAGAGGGCATGGGGGGGGGGGAGGAAAGAGGGACAGAGGCCAGTGTTGCCCACAGCACCCCTGAACATCGTTCAGATGTCAAGGAAATAAACAACTATCTGACTTTTAGAAAACATCTGAAGGAACATAGGGAAGGTTTTAAGGACTGATGTTTTTCTTATGTTTTTAGATATGTTGTAAGCTGCCCAGAGTGGCGGGGTATAAATCTTCTTCCTCTTCCTCTTGGCACCCCAGGATACCACAGCACACTGGTTAAAAACCACTGAGTTAAACTCTGGAACTCACTGCCACAACGGCAGTGATGGCCACCAATTTGGGTGGCTTTAAAGGAGGATTGGACTAATTCATGGAGGATGAGGCTATCAATGGCTGCTAGCCATGATGGCTATGCTCTGCCTTCACACTCAGAGACAGCAGTGCTTCTGAATACCAGTTGCTGGAAACCCCTGGAGGGGAGAAAGCTCTTGATCAGGAATCCTGTTTCTAGGTTTCCTATTGGAGCATTCCCCCCCAGGATGCTGGAGGTCTTTGGCCTGATCCAGCAAGCTATTCTTATGTTTTTATTGGCTGCTGTGGCTGATGGGAGTCTCACAACAGATCTGAAGGGCGCCTGCCCCTGACCTAAGCAACTGTAACCAAAACAATGGCTTATTATTCTCTTAGTGTTCACGCCTAACTCCATTCCCATTGTTTTTCAAATAAATAATATTGGATTATAAACAATTATAACCAAACTGTAAATTCTCCCTGGTATTCGGATAGCCCAACATTCTTCAAGCTCAAGGTGGCTTACAAAGTTCTCCCTCTCCCCATGTTACCTTCAGAACCACCTTGTTGGGTAGGTTAGGCTAAGAGACAGGTCTCAGGACACCAAGTGAGCTTCATGGCAGAGTGGGGATGTGAACCCAGGTCTCCCAGGTCCTAGTCCACTACACAACACATCTTTATAGGCAACCCTACCCATGTCCACCCAGAAGTCCCATTATTAAATTTGGCTTACTCAGAAGTAAGTGGGGTTATTTATTTTGTGTATAAACCTATTTTAAAACTGCCTATATATAAATATATAATTATATATATAATTATATATAAATATATTTATATAATAGAGCGCTCTTTAGGGCCATAAAATTATAAACAAGGGACAAATGTATGGACGCTGAAATCAGTTTAGTATGTTAGTTTGCCTCCTGTCCTTTAATGTTAACATTTCCAGCCCGGCTCACGACAACAGAGAGATCGATAGCAATAAGTTCAAAACCTCAACCGCCAATACAACAACGGCTGAAAAGCCAAGAAGGCGACGCCATTCTAGGCGAAGACGTGAGCAAGCACTTGGCGGAGAGCCTCGACTCGCTCTGCGGGGCCTGGGAGAGGCTCTCCAAAAAAAATCCTACGCCTGCAGCCCGGCCCGCTCCATTGCATTGCACCGCAGCGCCCGACGGGGGTCCCCAGCAAAGACCTACGACGGAACTTGGAAGCGCTCCCTTCCGCATGTTTACTCGGGAGTAAAGCTGCGTTAGACGGGTCGGACTCCCACGGATGCGCGCAGCAGCACCAGCAGCTTTGCGCAAACCGCACTGGGCGGCTGCGCTGGCGCCGCTTTGCCCGCTGCTGTCGGGGCGGGGCTGGGACGGTGACGGCCTCCCGGTCCCGCTAGCTCCCTCCCTCCCTCCCTCCCTCGCGGGCTCCGGTTCCCGTCGTGCTCCGCGGCGCTGGAGGCGGGTTGGAGTTTAAATCCTGCCGGCCAATGAGGAGCGCGCTCGGGGCTCCGTAACGCTCCGGCTCTAGGTTTGAAATTGGTGCAGCCACCGAGCAGAAGCCGTCGGCCGGGTCGCTGTGGCTGCTACTGCTCATCGCTGTCACGGAGCCACGCCGCCGCCATCCTCACCCTCAGGCCCAACGGGACCGCAGCGCAAGGAGCCTCGGGAGCAGCATCCGAGGAAGGCGTCGGGGATGAGCGCGGCGGTGCCCAGCAGAGGGTCCCGCCCGGGGGCGTCGGCGGCGCCTAGCGGTGGTGCCGGGGGGAGCCGGGCGTCTTCCACGGCGTTGAAGGAGAGCAAGGCCATCCCGGAGGTGCTGCTGGACCCGCGGAGCCGCCGGCGGTACATGCTGGGGCGCTTCCTGGGCAAGGGCGGCTTCGCAAAATGCTACGAGATCACGGACGTGGAGAGCCAGGAGGTCTTCGCGGGCAAGATCGTGCCCAAGTCGCTGCTGCTGAAGGCGCCGCAGAAGGAGAAGATGTCCATGGAGATCGCCATCCACCGCAGCCTCCACCACCGCCACGTGGTCGGCTTCCACGGCTTCTTCGAGGACGCCAACTTCGTCTTTGTAGTTCTCGAGCTCTGCCGGCGGAGGGTGAGGACCCTGGAAGGGGGAGGGCGCGCAAAGGGCGGCGGCCGCGGCGGGCTCGGGGTTCGCTGTTCGACGGGGCTGCCGGAGGGGCGCTGCAGAGCCCCGGGCTGGGGAGGGTGGCTTGAAGGGACCGACCCTCTGAGCCCCTGGCTAGGCAGGCCTGGGAACTGCCAGGCCGTAGCCATAGCTTCGGTTTGGCAAGGGGAGGGCGTGGATCCGGTTCCCCAGGCGACGGCCTCTCGGTGGGGTAGGGTGGGCACCTTTGTTGGCCGCGTTCCCAAGCGACTGGATGTGTCGTTCCAAGTCGCTGTTTTCGGCACTTAGGGGATAATTCAAGCCGTCTCTGAGCATCTGCAGAGTACCTTCCCCGTAATCGCTCACCACAACCAGCCCCCATCAAACAACAACCAGGCTAGGTGGTCCTTCTCCTTAAGTCTTGGCATATCTGCTTTGTAGGAAGGTTCCCTCACTCCAGAAATGGAGGGTTCCATCAATTGCCTTTGACTTAAGTTCAGCTGCTGCTGTCATCTCCCTCCTAAGTTAAACTTATCTGGGGTTATTGATTTGTTTTATCATGTATTTTGTGTCCTCATCTTGTATTTCTGTGTTGTGAACAGCCCTGTGACCTTTGGATGAAGGGTGGTATACAAATTAAATAAACTGAATAAAGGAAGGCTTGAACCCTTCATCACTCTCTCATCCCTGGCTATGGAATGAGATGACTGGTTTTGAAGAGCCTCACTGAGATCTGGGAAGTTGAGCAATACATGAAAGCACCAGAGTTTAGCTGTCAGCTTTTAGCTGGGAAAGATGGCCTTGGTGCCTTAGGGGTGATGAAACTGTTAAAGTTATGGTCCACATTTCAAAGGTCCCAGAAACTGCCTGTAGTCTACCTGTCACCTGTGAACCCCTCTTGCCCGTTGGCTGAGCTGTGGCGATCCTAAAATCATAGAATTGTAGAGTTGGAAGGGATCCCGAGGGTCATCTAGTCCAACTCCCTGCAATGCAGGAATCTTAACAAAAAAGCTGGGAATGTTTGCAGACCTTGACTTAAAAGCAGGGAGGTTGGTATACCACACAGCTGTTGTGACAGGCACCAAAGGCTGGTGTAAATAGGGAAGCAACATCACATAGGACCCACCCGGAGATGGCAGGAACCCCTGCTGTGAGGTGGAATATGGAGCAGGGAAAGGAGGTTTCAAGTGGGCCAGAGGTCGACAGAAGTAGGCTGTGGGCAGAGAAGGTAATATTGGCGTCCTTGCATTTGCCTGCCAGTCAAAACATCAGAAGAGACCCCGCGGCAGAAAGCTGGTGCGGTGTGGTGTTTAGAGTGTCAGACAAGGACCTTGGAGAGCAGGGTTCAAATCCTTACACAGCCATCAAGTGCACTGGGTGTGACCTTGGGCCAGTTGCTACATGTCAACACCTTGCTAAAATCAGTGCTTTGAAAAGCACACTCCACTCTGGTGCCCTGGCCAAACTTTCCAGGGGTGGCGAGAGAGTTGCTGTGAACTGCATCATATTCCATTCCAGCCCCACACTTATTTGTAGGGAGGGGGCTGTCTGTCACTCACTGGACAGAGCTTCCTTGGCAGCTCCACGTAGGGCTGGGAATGCCCCCTGCCTGAAACCTTGGAAAGCCGTGGCCTTGTCTGACTCTGTATAGAAAGCGCTGATCTAAATGGACCTGCAGTCTAACGGTCTTCTAATGCGACTTCCTGGAGAGGAGCATCCCGCCCGCCTTGGTCAGTCCAGTGACTATCTCCTTAAGGTGATTTCTCTTTCCTCCTCCCTCTCCAAAGTCTCTTCTGGAGCTGCACAAGCGACGGAAAGCGCTGACGGAACCCGAAGCTCGTTACTACCTGCGGCAGATCATCCAGGGCTGCCAGTACCTTCACAGTAACCGGGTCATCCACCGCGACCTCAAGTTGGGCAACCTGTTCCTTAATGACGACATGGAGGTGAAGATAGGTAAGGGGTTTGTGCAGGGTGGGGGGCCTGGGAATTATATGGCCATGGGCTCACTGCCTGGGGAGGGAGGTTTCCTATCGTGCTGCATGTGGAGGGGAAAGAGAGCTTAAGCAGCTTGGACACGAAAAAATTAGATGCCAGCTAGTGCACCAGAACACCTTTGTTTTTGTTCATTTAGCTTGGATGAGGTTCTTACAATCTGATGGTGTAATCTAGGAATTTTAGTGGACTTTATCTGGCTTCAAAATGTAGGGTTGACATATTTTTAAAAGTAAGCCAGGACACCCCTGTTGTTGAGTTGTTTTTGTTGTTTTTTTAACAAAAACACCAAAAAAACCCAGTGATTTTTCAATTGACTTCCCTAAGATCCAGGACAAAGTGCTGCCTTTTGGAAATTCCCCCTGTTATGTACTGAGCCAGGAGGGGGATACTGTAGATAGTTATGCAAATGAAGGATCGAAAAGTGACGTTCAGTGATTGGATAGTTTTGTATGCAAATGAAGGATCGAAAAGTCACGTTCAGTGATTGGATAGTTTTAGAATGTTGCAACAGTTACAATTGTTCTGTAGCTCTATATAAGCCGGCTGACTGAGCTCCTCAGTTTAGTTCTGTTCCAGCTTACAAAATAAAGAGCTGCTTTGGAGAAATCGCTGTGTCGTCTGCTATGTCAACCCACAACTTAACACCCCCCAGGTGTCAGTTCCACCTTGAAATCCCGGTAATGTCCGGATGTATGGCAGCCCTACTCCAAATGTGTATATTTGCCTTCTATTGCATTATTTCCCAGGCTGTATGAGTGCTTCTTGGGATGGGACAACTGTCCGCTTTCTACCTGTTTGAACTGAATGACTCTTATTCTTACTCATTTATTACCCACTCATCACCCAAAGGTCTCAGGGTGGGTTTCGGCATTCAAAGCAATATTTTAAAAAAGAATTAAACAGCTTACAACCATATCGTTAGGAACCATCAGTATTGTACTTTCCCCAAAGTGCTGCTTGGGCGCAGAGCATGCGCCCCGTACCAAGAGGTGTGACATCTTCTGAAAACCTTTGTTTCCTTCTCCCTGTATTTTGAGTTAGGCTGAGGGCTGTAGGTTCCCCATCCATCTTCTCGTGCTTCCAAACTCCCATCAAAGGGCACTAAAAGGAAGCAGACAGCAATTCACAATTCTCCCCTTGCCAGGTTGTGGGAGTGGATTGGAGCATAAAAATATTTATACTGCACCTCTTGAAGTAGCAAATCTGCCTTAAAACAGCACTCTGCTCACTGCAAAAAAGAAAACCTATCCTGTGAGAGTTCTCCTTGCCAGTGTTCCCCTAACCTTCCAATGTGAAGTGTGTTTGTGTTAAAAATTCCCTGCCCTTTCTTGGGCCTTTACATCTCTGACTGCCTCTGAAAAGGAAGCTACTTAATGCTTCTGTTTGGGGCTCCTCTGGCGTAGCCTTGACCAAGGAAGCCTCTGTATTCCTCCTGTTTGTCCAGGGGACTTTGGCTTAGCCACCAAGGTGGAGTATGATGGCGAGCGGAAGAAGACCCTGTGCGGGACGCCCAACTACATCGCCCCAGAGGTGCTGGGCAAGAAGGGACACAGCTTTGAAGTGGATGTCTGGTCCCTCGGCTGCATCATGTACGTTTTGCTGTGTAAGACTTGAGTGGATCTAATGGACACCAGGGGTTTTCCTCATCAATGCTGGTGGGAAATCAGTAGAGGGGAAGTTGGGGTAATGAAGTCAGGTGGTGTTAGAACTTCCAGTCTTTCTCTTCCCTCCACAAGTTGGATAAAAATGTAGTGTCCCGTCCCCCTAAAACACTTCCAGTTTCCTTTCCAGGGGTGCCTCTCACGGGGGAGGGACTTTTCAGGGATGTGCCTGGTTGTATCACTTGTTCTAGGTGGGGATGACTGCCCAGGACAAATACCTTTGGTGTCTTTGCCTAACATGGGAATACTCGCCCCAAACATCCTGAGAACATCAGCTGGGGTGGGGGGAGGCTGGTTTAGGCACAGCCTGTCTCTGTTCCCCTCTGCACAAACTGGAAGGAAGCGGGGAGATTCTTATGTTCTGCTCCCTCCATCCCCACCTTGGATGTGCTGGGAAGGGGTGAGAAGCAGGGTGGGTCATGCTCTGTGCATTTTGAGGAACAAGAGTTTCAGCGGTGTAAACATGGCTTGTTCCACGAAAGAGGGAGAGAAAGAATATTTGGGTGGGCAGTGGGCTCTCTAGCGTTCCTCTCCACCCCCAGCACCCACAGTTGATGGATTTCCATATATGGTCTCTCCTTGCAGGTACACTCTCCTGGTTGGGAAGCCCCCCTTCGAAACCTCCTGTCTGAAAGAAACGTACATCCGAATTAAGAACAACGAGTACACCATTCCATCGGTACAGCCTTCCCTGGATACGGGAGAGTCTGGAGTTGGGTGGGGTGGGGTCGGAAGTGGGCACCCCTTAACTCCTGAAAGTGGAGTTGGCAGCAACTGGGAGGGGGATTTTCATTCAAATTTCTAAGCTGAGTCGTTTTGAGGGCTCAAGGTGGGGTGAATTTGGGGGAAACAATTGAGTCTGCACAAAACACAGAACTGAAGCTGCCCCCAAAGCAGTTTAGGGTTATGTCTACACAGCAGAATTCCATTTAATGAACAGAACAACATCTCTAATGAGCCAAAGTTTCCCCAGTGCTCATTATAAGCTAAAGAGAAGAAGAACACAGTGGTGAATTACTTGGGCCTCTTTTTCCCCCACTGCCGCCTCAACCTCCTACTTTTTGCAGTCCCCACCCACCCAAATTTAGCCATGGTTGCTTGCTTCCTCTCCCCACCCTCCATTTACCTTATCACAAGATTTGAGTACCGTTGAATAACCCCAGAAAGAAAGCCCTGCCCATATGGAACCTAGAACCTGGCCTTGTGCTCTGGGTGAGAGCATAAGAAGTGCCTGCTCATTTAGGCCAAATAGGGCTGAATCTAGTCCAGCATTCTCTTCTCAAAGTGACCACCCAGATGCCCGTTATGGGAAATGTTCAAGCAGGATCTGATCCCAAGAGCCCTCTCCCCTGCTGTGGTTTCCAGCAACTGGCATTCAGAAGCATTGCTGCCTTCAACTGTGGTGGCAGAGTATAGCCATCCTGGCAAGTAGTCATTAAGAGCCTTCTCCAGGAATTTGCCCAATCCTCATTTCCTGCGGGAGTGAGTTTCATAGTTTAGCCGCATGCTGTGTAAAGCAGGACATTTTAGCAGCTCAGGCCCTGTTTAGAGCTCATGGCTGTGGGGTTGGTGCGCCTGCCTGTGTCTTGTGTTCGTTCCATTTCCCAACGCTACTCTTCCTCCTTTCCAGCACATCAACCCCATAGCTGCTACCCTCATCCAGAAAATGTTACGGTCCGACCCGGCTGCCCGCCCCACCATTGATGAGCTGCTGACCGATGAGTTCTTCACCACGGGCTACATCCCATCACGGCTGCCCACCACTTGCCTCACGATACCCCCTAGGTTTTCTCTGGCCCCCAGTGGGTTTGATGTCAGCTTGAGGAAGCCTCTCACAGTGGTCAACAAAGGTGAGGGAGTGAGCGGGGGAAGGCTTGGCTGCGCTTGCAGCCCAGGTAGTAACTTAATAAGGGGGCTGGGGGAGGAGTGATACAACAACACTTAGAATGTTCCATAAGACTCACCAATAGACAAGGAAAGTGCCTGTACAGTTGTACCTTGGATCCCGAACGCCTTGGAACTCGGACGTTTCGGCTCCCGAACGCCGCAAACCTGGAAGTGATTGTTCCTGTTTGCGAACATTCTTTTGGAACCCGAACATTTGAGAGAGCTTCCACGGCTTCTGATTGGCTGCAGGAGCTTCCTGCAGCCAATCAGAAGCTGCAATTTGGTTTTTGAACATTTTAGAAGTCGAGTGGACTTCCGCAACGGATTCCGTTTGACTTCCAAGGTACAACTGTATTTATTTATTTCATGAAATGTATACACTGCTTGCTTGTGAAAAAGCAACAACCCCAACCTCAAAGCAGTGTACAAAAAATGGTATAACAATAAGATTATCACTAAGAACAATTAGCAACAATAATTTAAGACTTAAGCTAAAATAATAACGGGCTGAAAACGGATTAAAGCTCGCACCAACTTTCTAAACATCTGGGCCAATGAGAATGGTTTTTAGCAGGCATCTTACAGCGAAGATGCCTGCTTGATCTCAGCAGGCAAGGAGCTTCATAATGCAAGTGCCGCCACACTAAAAGATTGAATACTGCGGAAGGGGCATAATGTGGCACCTGTAGCTGTGCCAGTTCTGCCAGCGAAACCCAGGCAAAATGGAGTAAGCCGAACTTGTGGGAAAGGTGTGTGGGTCTGGCTGAGGCTGCACAGGGTGTGATCTCCAACTGGGAAGCTGAGCTCCATGAGCCAAGAGTGGAACAAGGCAGCATGCCTCTCTCTCTTTCCTACACAGGACCAGAGAGCCCTGCGCTGGAGAAGGTGCCCGAGAAGGAAGAAGAGGTGGCCCTGCGGGAGCCCAGGAGTCCTGTGGACAGCCACTTGGCTGATCTCCTGCAGCAGCTGACACTGGTCAATGGGTCCAATCCCGCAGAAAGAGTACCCATCAGACAAGGTGTGGGGGGTGTGTGTGTGTGTGTGTGTGTGTGTGTGTCTTTTATCTGAGCTTGCCTGCGGGCTTCACTCCCTCTTCCTTAACCTCCATTTGGTAACCACAATTCTCTTTTTCAGAGGAGGCTGAGGACCCAGCCTGCATCCCCATCTTCTGGGTCAGCAAATGGGTGGACTACTCGGATAAGTACGGCCTAGGTGGGTAGTCGACTGGGCACAGCAGCTGTCGGGGGGTGGGGAGTGCACTTTGGGAAACAGGGCCATGAGGCAAAGTGAAGCAGTTGCCTCAGGTGGCAGAACCAACCTCCGAAGAATGTGCTGCCCACCCCTCTCCAGCCTCCTTTTACTCCCTCTCTACCTTCAGCTCAGGGAGGCAGTTGCAAAGGAAGAGGTGGGGAGGGTATTTTATGTTTTGCCTCAAGTGGCAACACATCCCAAGTTGGTCCTGTTGGGAACAGACCAAAAACTCACCTATCAATGAGGCACGCCCATGTTCCAAGCTGCCACCCTTACACCTTCTTAATCATTTAAATTTTTATTTTCATGAGAACAAGAATAATAAGGGGGGGGAGATACATGGAGGGCAGGGGACGGGGCGAGACACAATTTCAGGAACCGGGGAAGTCCACAAGATAAAAGAAAGAGTTGCTGGTTCCCTTTGTGATGCTAATGTGGTTTTTGTGGCTATACAGATTTTTTTTTTTGCATGACTTTTGCATGACTCAGATTAAAATGTTGGGGGAAATACCAAAAGTAACTTGGAGAATACCAAAAGAAGCCTTGACCTAAATCCAGGGGTGGAACATCTGTCCAGAAATTAAGTGAGATGTTGGCAGGTGGAGCCGTTGGTCAGCGTTTATTCATTCATTTGGGTTCAAACCTTCCTCCCAAAGGAGCCCAGGGTGGCAGGTCTCACTAAGGGGCAGGAGCTTGCAATGAAATTGTGGAGATGTGATGTTATTGTCTGTAGTGCCTGTGGTTAGTTGGTATGAAAGAGGAAACCTCGGAGCTCTGCTTCAAGACCAAAACATCTGCCAAAGCATGACCATGGGGCCTCTGAGATCTGGTGGCATAGGGCGGTATACAAATCGATTGATTAACAGATGCAAAGCACCTGCTTTGCGGGCAGAGCCCCTGGCCACTCGGGTGGGAAAGAGTCTTGGGTTCTCTGCGGGAGACAGCTGAGACCACGGAAAGGCAAGATTCTCCTTGGTTTGAAATTAAGGCAGGTTTTGAGTGCTCCCCTCTGTTCTCCGCACCCCAGGCTACCAGCTGTGCGACAACAGCGTTGGGGTCCTCTTCAACGACTCGACCCGCCTGATTATGTACAACGACGGGGACAGCCTGCAGTACATTGAGCAAAATGGCTCCGAGTCTTACTTCAACGCACGTTCCTACCCAGAGGCTTTCAGCAAGAAGGTCAGTGACTCGAGCCTCATGGCGGCAGCTAAATTTGACCATGTGCAAAGTGCCCCTACCCTTGCCACTGAGCAGCTGCCTTTCTGTATCTGAGATGAAGGTGCGAGGGACTTCCGGCCATCACTCGGCCCCAGGGTATTTCTTTTCCTTGCAAAAGAAACCACCGTTTTCATTTTGGGAAAGGGCAGCATCTATGTGAGGTTGGGGGTCTGGTGGCTCTTGCTGGCTGCAAGTGGGAGGCTACTTAAGAATTTAAGAGCAACCCTGCAGCTGGGCCAGTGACCCATCTAGTCCAGCATCCTGTGGCCACTGGGGGCCAACCAGATGCCCCTGTGGGAAACCAGCAAGTCAGATGGGAGCCCAGGAGTCCTCTCCCCTGCTGTGGTTTCCAGCAACTGGTATTCAGAACATTGAATATCTGCAGCATAACCATCATAGCTTATAGCCATCAATAGCTCTCTCCTCCCTGAATTTGTCTAATCTTTTAGAGTCATCTAGGTTGTTGGTCATTTCCGTCTCCTGTGGCAGTGAGTTCCATAGTTTAACTATGCGCTGTGTGAAGAAGGACTTTCTTTTATACTATTCTGGTGTCTGTGTGGCCTAAGGGGGGGTTGCATTTAAATCCTGCTGGGCAGAGGATGCCGTTATGAGATCTCGGCTTCTGTTGCCAATAACCTTTTATCAAGCCATGCTGGAACCTAGCTTTTTGAGGCCTGCCTCTGCTCCGCTTCTGTTTTGCTGACGTGGGCCCTTGTTTTTGTCTCCTGCAGATCACGCTGCTGAGCTACTTCCGCAACTACATGAGCGAGCACTTGCTGAAGGCGGGAGCCAACATCACCCCCCGAGAGGGAGACGAGCTGGCCCGCCTCCCCTACATGTGCTACTGGTTCCGCACTCGCAGCGCCATCATCCTGCACCTGAGCAATGGCACTGTGCAGATCAACTTCTTCCAGGTGACCTAACAGGAGCGGGGAAGCTCCCTCTCCCCACCCTGCCAGCCTGCATGTATTTGGGGGTGGGTTTTGAAGCTAGAAATTACCCCCCCCCCTCTAAAAGGGACAATCAATGGGTTCCTTAGGGAGGAAAGATGGGCTTAGAAGTTGAATTAATAATAATAATGGCTGGCTGGCTGTCCATGCTGTCAACTGGTTCAGCTTGGGGTGTCACAGGCATCTCTCCTTTAACAGGTTTAATGCTGCCCCCCCCAATACTGTACCTAAAAGAACCCTGATGGATCTGGTCAATAGCCCATCTAGTCCAGCATCCTGTTCTCACAGTGGCCAGCCAGGTGCCCCCTTGGAAATCTGCAAGCATGACCCGAGCACAAGAGCCCTCTTTCCATCTGCGGTTTCCAGCAACTGGCATTCAGGAGCATTGCTGCCTCCAGCTGTGAAAGCAGAGCAGAGCCATCATAGCTAGTAGCCATTGATGGCGTAAAGGTGGAACTGAGAGCAGGCAAAGGAGAGGGACTGTGTGCGAGATGCCTCCAAGGGCACAGAGGAGGATGCCCTGGCTTCTTCGCCTTTGTCTCTATAAGGGGCAAGATTTGAGTCTCTTCCTACTCTAGTTCCTTTGGCTTCAGAACTCCTCTTGGGATTATGAAGCCGGCGTGTTTGTGGAACGCTGTTCTGGCTGCTTACAGCAAAGTGCAGGGAATCCTTTCAGCCCAGGGGCCGCATTCCATTCTGGGCAGCCTTCTAGGGGCCACATGTCAGTGGTGGGTGGGGCCAGAGGCAAAAGGGGGCAGAGCAACCAACACAAACTTCACCCTTGTGCAGCAGGCTAGATTTTGACCCCCTCCCTCCTCCATCCAGGTGAGCATGAGGCATGAAAAGAGTTGAAGGGTGCATCCCATCCAGGCGTATCTGAAGCTGGGCCAGTGATGAGGGTGGCCTGGGGAGAGTTCTGAGCACAAATGGAGGGTTGCATGAAGGCCCTGGGCATGAAATTACCTGCACTGGCTTAAATGGATCTAGAGCAGGGCTCCAGCTGCTTTTGGACTGCAATTCCCATCCTTGACCACTGGTCCTTCTAGCTAGGGATGATGGGAGTTGTAGTCCAAAAGCAGCTTGAGACCCAACTATGGGAAACCTTGATCCAGATATTCCTTATATCGGGAATAGCCAGGTTTTTGTGGGCTCCAACTCCCACCCACCTCCCTCCTTGGCCAAGCTGATTCTGGGACCAACAGGAGTTGCGAAAGCCCAGAATAGTCATCATAGGCACCGCTGGTTTCCCAGCTTTGTCTTGTGTGCAGTTTTACAAACTGCTACCTCGCATTGCATTAATGCCACCATCCTAATCCGCTGTGGCTGCCTCTCAGAGCTGAAGGAGCCCAGCTGGTACTAATTTGCCTCTTGCATGTATTTTCTCCATCCTCTGCCCACAGGACCACACCAAGGTCATCCTGTGCCCCTTGATGGCAGCCGTCACCTACATCAATGAGAAGCGAGAGTTCCGCACCTACAAGCTGAGCCTGATTGAGGAGTTTGGCTGCTGCAAGGAACTGGCCAGCCGCCTCCGCTATGCCCGCACCATGGTGGAGAAGCTGATGAACTCCAAGCAGGGTGTTCCCTGCCCCAAACCTTCTACCTAGCACCTGGCTGCTGTGGTTGTGCAGCAGCGAAGGACTCTCTCGCTGTCTCTTCCAGTTCCAATACCGTAATGGGCTGCGGCATTCCTGCCTTCCCCTCCCAGCTGGGGTCACCTCTGCCTGGCTGTGTCCTGGCACAGGGGTCAGGCCAGGGAGTGGCTTCTAGTTGGGCGGTGCTCCTTACAGGGGGGCTAAATGCCCCCCCAGCCCAGCCTAGAAGACTCTTTATTTTTTAAAAACAACAACAACCAAGGATTTGTTTTCTCCCGATTCTGCTGGAGAAAAAGCCCCCATTTCTCCCTCCTCTCAGCCCAGCCCAGTGAGGCCTCTGGTGCAACTTAAGAGTTGGGGGTTTCGGTTACACCATGTGAGTTACTTGTACGTGGTCTGTCTGCTGAGCCTTCCTCTTGTGGGCACTCTCCCTCCTCTTCCTGCTGTAGTTAAACTGTCTGGCGTTTTGTTCTTTGACTCTAAGCCACCAGACTTTTAAATATTGAAACTAAAGTCTACACCAACTAAACTTTTTGTACATTACTTAATAAAGAAGATTTTCTGGAAGCATTCAGCGGGGTCCTCCACACTGCCTTCTCCACCCTTGTAACTCTGAAAGGGTTCTTTGGCCACTTTTGCACATCACCCTCTAATAGAGTTGCAGGTCCCAAATCCTTGGCTGCCTTTACTCCCTGATGTTTCTTGCCTGGGGCTGCAAGTCTCCTTCCCCATAGAGAACAGGTTCCTAGGGGACATATTGAAATGGCTTCTGCTCTGCTGTAAGAAACTGTGGCCCCTTCGTGCCTTCTCTGCATGGACACATTGGGAGAAGTGGGCCAGGTCCCAAAATGACAAGCCCAGAGGATTGGGGCCCTACCGAGCAAGAAAGGGTTAGTTCTCCTTTAGGTTCAGAAGAGCCACTTCTGCAACTCCTAGAGAAGAGACTCATTGGCTGCCTCTTCCCTTTTAACCGAACTAGGACTGCCCCACAGCTGAGCTCTCCCTCTCAGGTGAAAAACATCCACCAGCCCTTCACAGTTGTGACGCTAGACCTCTGGTCTCCAACTCTGCAGCATTATTCTTAGTTTTGGAGAGATTTAGCAGTGATTGTGCCTAAGCATCATCAGTGTTTCTTCTGCGAAATGGGTATCTTCAGTGCGCACAGCAATTTTAACAGTAAAAAGAATTAAAACTTGCCAACCTTTAACATAGGATGCTGATGCCATGCCTCAGGATGTTTCACAGAGCAAGTGTTGGATGCAAACATGAGGAAGATGACCTTTAATATTAATTGCAGGGGAGGAAAAGCAGAAGGGAGCCGTTGCTTTCCTGCTGCCCTCCAGCTTATCTGAAGTGAAGCTCTTATCTGCTGCAGGCGGCAAAGCTGTAAGGTGCTGGCACCAAAGATGCACCTCTTTGTCCTGGACCAGGTATGGGGAAACCGTGGCCTTCCAGATGTTGAACTACAGCTCCCAGCAGCCTTAGAAAGCATGCCCCCAAGGATCATGGGAGTTGTGGTTCAACATCACCTGCAGGGCCAAAGGTGTACCACCCCCCCCCCATGTAGTGAGAAGGCCAGAGCATCCTGAGCAAAGGAGCTTTGAACAGCTGTGATGTGGTTAGCCTCCTACTGGATGCTTGAGGGGAGGTTGCAGCAGCCCAGTATTAGCAACTCATGTTGCTGCCCGAGGACACACACCTGCCTTGAAGGTGACTGGGCTGGCAAATGGCAGCATACATTTAAAGTGATGATGTTACAGAAAGCAAAGAATCCCGGGAGCTGTGATTTGCTAATGGTACTGGGGATTGTTAGGAGACCCCTGCTCCTTGAGCTACAATTGACAATCCCTCTTCTCTGCAAACTGGGAACTGTGGGCCTATGGGGGGAGGGTCTGCTAATGTTTCAGATTTAATATGCCATTCGGGCTGAATGTCCTAGAATAAAGGTCAGTCTCATGCCACGCCTCCTAACAGCAATTTTCACAAACCTGCTGCCCTCCAAAGGTCCTTTCAGCTCAGTATTGTCCACACCAGGCACCCCAAAACTCAGCCCTCCAGCTGTTTTGGGACTACAGTTCCCATCATCCCTGACCACTGGTCCTGTTAGCTAGGGATCATGGGAGTTGTAGTCCCAAAACAGCTGGAGGGCCAAGTTTGGGGGTGCTTGGTCTACATTGACTCGCAGCATTGGCTTTCTGGGGTTTCAGACACTGAGGACTGAACCTGGGACCTTCTGATCTGTTCCTGATCTGGCCTCTCTGTGGCCCCCCAACCCCAGCTCCCGACTCTAATGGCCCACCCACTTGCTTCACCACAGCACTATGAAACAAGGGAGTAACAGTTTATTCTCCAAAACAGGATGACATACTGTATTAAAAACAAGTCACATTCCTTCAAGTTCAGAACGGTCTTTAAATAAACAAGCATAGGTGCAAGCACTCTGTCCCGCCAACCCAAAAACATACTCCATCCTAATGGATCAGCCCCCAGCCAGGAATGCTGTTAAGGTACAGCAGTAAGTACTGTTTCCACCCTACACAAGTCAAGAACAGGCAAGTGGACAGTGCCTTGGAAACAGCCAGCTGGAACTGAGTGCCAGGCACCCAGGTTTCCTGCAGAAGTCCGGCCTCCGGAGTCTCCTGTTGGGCTCTGTCCGAGGCCTGGCTTCTGGAAGAGAGCGCCCCCACCCAGTTGCCAAGAGCAGGCTCGGCAGAGTCCATGTCCCGGAACGGGCCACCTCGAGGACCAGGAAGCTTGGCACAAAGGGGTGTGTCCTTCCCTCGAGCCGAAACTCTTGCGCTCCGAGACCCAAGGGGCAAGTGGGGGCAAGTGCGCAGTCCGCCGCGGGGGCACCAGATGCAAAACAAGGGCACTTGCTTCTGTCGTCCCGCCGGGTTGGACGTGTGTGTCTCTTTTGGGACTCGATTCCCTAGCCTCAACCCACCGGGGAGAGGCGTCTCTGCATGGCTCGCTACTCCGGAGAGGCAAACGCGCTCCGTTTCTTCCTCCTGCTTCACTCGTGCTCGACGACATTCGCTTCCTCGGCCGCCCCGTCGGCTGCCTACGATGAAAGGGGCGCCGCAGCGGCCGCTGGGCTTCCTCCGACGCTCCGGCTAGCAGATGGCGCAGTTGGGGCTCTTGCTCGGGCGTCGCCGCGTGGACGCCGTCGGCTCCTTGGCCAGCGGGTCGGGGATGGAGCGGCGCCGGAGGGCCGGACTGAGGCGCCCGCTGAGCACGTCGACTTGGCCCAGCAGCTCCTGGAAGAGCCCGACCACGTTGCAGCCCTGCTTGGCTGACGCCTCGACGTGGCGAGCGCCCCACTCGCGCTGCACTGTGGCGGCGGCCAGGCGGTCGCTGTTGCCCGCGGCCGGGCCCAAGTCGGATTTGTTGGCGACCACCACGAGGCGGACCGGGGCGCCGGGCTTGGCTTCCAGGATCTCATCGCGCAGCCGCTGCAGCTCCTCGAAGGAGCCCGGCTCGTGGGGCGAGTAGACGAGGGCGAAGACGTCGCCGTGTTGGATGCAGAGGCGGCGCATGGCCGGGAAGCTGTAGCTGCCGCTGGTGTCCAGCAGCTCCAGGCGGAGGCGCAGCGCCGGGCCCGGTGGCTCCAGGTCCAACTCCAGCACGTGCAGTTCCTCCACGGTGCGACGGTGGCGGGCCTCGAAGGCGTCGTGCAGGAAGCGGCGGATCAGCGCCGTCTTACCCACGCCCGCTGCGCCCAAGAACACCAAGCGCACCCGAGCCTCTGGCTTTAGCGACATCGTGGAGCTGTTTATCTCTGGTCGGTCCGCTACGACGGGGCGGCCGCTTTATCTGCTGAGGCTGCAGCCCGCGGCCAATCGAACAGCCGGAGGAGGTCTGCGGTGGGAGGGGCTGCCTGCTGGCCGCCCGCCAGCCCGGGCAATTGTTTGCCTCGCGGGCGCGCCCCGGAAGGCTCCGCACCCTGGGAGCCGAGCACGCGCTAAGGGGCTTCTCAGCATTGGCAACAGGACTTCGCTGCGTGGTTTCCCCTTCCCCGCACAAAAGACTTCTAGGGTAAGCCTCTGTTCTGTTGTTTTTTGTTTTTTTTACATATGGCAGCAGACTGGTGCAGTTTTGACACAGCAAATCACTTCCAAGCACTTTGAGGTGATGGATGATCTAAGCAAGATATAAATCCTGTTCGCAACAAATAATGGGTATTCTCTCAGCATTAGCCCCCTGTATCTGCAACAGGGGTGTGTCACTGGCCCACCTTACAAAGGTGTTGTGAAGCTTGCTTTCCTAGGCAAAGCACTTTGAACACACCAAAGAACTTATTACAGTACTAATAATACCCAAAGCTGCTTATTACAGTACTAATAATACCCAAAGCTGCATACAGGCTGCACACACATGGTACATTTAAAGCACCCCCAACTCCTGTAACTTACCCCTTAGGTAAAGGTAAAGGGACCCCTGACCGTTAGGTCCAGTCACAGACGACTCTGGGGTTGTGGCGCTCATCTCGCTTTATTGGCCGAGGGAGCCAGCGTACAGCTTCCAGATCATGTGGCCAGCATAACTAAGCCATTTCTGGTGAACCATAGCAGTGCATGGAAATGCCGTTTACCTTCCCGCCGGAGTGGTATCTATTTATCTACTTGCACTTTGACGTGCTTTCAAACTGCTAGGTTGGCAGGAGCTGGGACTGAGCAATGGGAGCTCACCCCGTCACAGGAATTCGAACTGCCGACCTTCTGATCAGCAAGCCCTAGGCTCTGTGGTTTAACCCACAGCGCCACCCCTTACAAAGCTACAATTCCCAGCACCCTTAACAACCTACAGTTCCTAGGATCTGGTGTGAGTGTGGTTTAATTTGGTGTCAGTTTCGGGTAGAGGAGGGACTTGACCCCCGGCGTGCGGTCCATGGGCATAGCCAGGATTTATGTTAGGGGGCAGGCTTCATGCTGGGGGGAGCAGAACCTCAGTTAAGTATTTTTATTTATTTATTTGATCTGGGCCCCTTGGCTGTGACCGTAAGCTTGGATGCCACCAGCATCTCCCCTCCCCACCCTCAGTGCAAGGAGTGAGCCTTTGTCCAGTTTTGGTCAACACTTTCTCCTCCTATAGTGGAAGGGGAAACAGACAGACTTGGTCTTACACTGCAATGCTTTCGAAATGTATTTATTTATTAGCTGCAGTGGCCAAGAAAGCCTGGGGCATGTGTGGCATCACAGCCTCTCAAGGCAGAAAAATTAATTCCCTGGGAAGGGAGTTATCTGCAGATGGAAAACTTCCCTTCTGCCAACAACCTTGGCTTGGAGTGCCCAGAAGGAAAACATTTGTAGAGTCCTGGGATGAGAAACTGGGTCAGGTTTACTGGGACAGGAACAGGGGGTGCTTAGAGATGCCAGTGCCAGGAGCTGCAAAGTCGTCTTAACTGAAAAGTGATGCTTTGTCAGGCTGTCCTCAGAGTCCTGCCAGAGCTACAGGGAGGGTGCATTTTGTCCTGCCCTGCCATACTACCTCTAGCAAAGGAAGAGTGTGTTTCCCCTCCCTTGCTTCCCCTCCCCACAAAAAAACCTTTTAAAAGCTGCCCCACTCTGATGGTTTCTGGAACCATTCATCTGTGCCCCCTCCCAACAAAATGATGCAATTCAGCGGCCGGTGTTAGACTTGTATGGGAGGTTGTCTGCAGTCAGGTCCAACTCATTGTGCACCTCCAGGCAATAATGAAAAGAAGTGGGGACCTGCAGCCAGTGGTGCCTGGTGCCTACTAGGCAGAGCTGGTGGGGCAGCCAACAACAGGTTGTGTCAGTGACAGACAGAGCCAATTAATTCTACTCCCCCCCACTGCTGGCCCCATCCTTAAGGAGGAGGTAGTTGACAGCCAGGGCTACCTCCTGGACTGGTCATAAGAAGGCAGCACAGCTCGGAGGAGTCAAAGCTGAAGTTGTGGGGCCATGCCCCAATGGACCAGCCATCACTGCCATCAGCAAAGTTGCAGTAAAAGCCCATTCTCTAAAAAGTGTGTTCCTATTCAGGCTTCCATCCAGCCTTGAACAGGAGCCCTGTAGTCCTGTTTGAGGGCTCCTGGGGGTGTGGGGAGAGGGTCCCCCCGGGGAAAAATAAAACTTTAAATTATTTGGATTAGATGGTGTGAGCCAACCCACCAAAGCCTTCATTGCTATACAGCAGCAGAGAGGTTGCTAGGAAAAGGAAAGGGTGCAAATTCTGCTTCCCTTCTTCCTGAAATCTCTTTGTTTAGTACAGAGAAGGAAGGTCCTTAACATTACAGTGTGCACCTGCCACCATCCGCCCTCTAGGGTACAATGAACTCTTACGGCTCAAACAGGCCAGAACCCTGCTCAGCCATGACCACCTCCTTCACTGGAGCGGAGCAACCCTTCCTCTCTTGTTGTTCTGAAGAACAATGGTTGCTTTGATGCGGCTGAATCACTTTTGCTGGGAAAGCTGTCATTCACTTGGGCTGACCCACCCTGTTTGGGTTTGGGATTAGAAAGCCAGAGCCTTTGAAGAGGCCCTGGGAAGTCAAACAGAGAGGGAGATGCCAAGCCCTTGGCATAGGCCAGCCTGATGGCCTCCAGCTGTTTTGGATGACAGCTCACAGCATAATGGCCCTAGGATGGGGAAGGCTTGCATATACTCTGCAGGGTTGGGGTGGGGGCACAGGAAAAAGGAGCAGGCAGGGAAGTGGCTCTCATAATACTATAGAATTGTCAAGTTGGAAGAGATTCAAAGGGTTATCTAGTCCAAACCCCTGCAACGCTGGAATCACAGCCAATCTGCCAGCAGCTGATAGCTGGAAAAGGAAACCTGGTGGTTGCAGGAGGTTGGAATGATTGGCAGGTGTCACATGACTGCCTTGGGGATTCAGATTTCCTAGTCTTCCCCACCTCCTCCTGCAATTCCACCTGCACCTATTGCGTCTGGGAGTTCTTCCTCGGGTTACCAAATTTTCTGAGGATGATGCATGTGAAGGCAGAGGAGTTGGCTGGGGAGAAGGAACTGTCCCACTTCCCCACCATTTAATTGTGCAATAAACAGGTGTTTTGTTTCTGGAAATGACTTGACCCTGACCTACATGATGTGCATCCCTCTGTTGCTTTGCTTGTTTATTTTTATGATGTCTTTACAGCTGCTTTTTAATTGTTTTTATTGCCTTTCATAGTATTTTATTGCCTTTTATAGTATTTTGATTCTTTTTGGAATATAGGTCAGCAACAAGTCTTTTATATAGAACGTCACTCCAGAAGAAGGAGGGAAGCTTTGAGCTACAAATGCAACGTCATTGGACCCCAAGCAAATGACCCTTTTCATACCCAGCATGGACACATCAGAAAACCTTTCTGAGGATTTGGCTGCAGAGGATGTTGTGGAGCTGTGCAGAGCCAGGACACTCAATAATATTTTAAACTATTTGTTATGTATTATTGCTAGTTGGTTGTGATTTCCCACCTCAAAGTGGTTGGGAGGGTGGAGGTACAGGAGAGGAGGCTGTGTCTTAGCTATTCCAGAGGTTCCATAACTGGGGTCTGTGGCCCACTGGTGGCCCCCCATAGGATTGCAGAATTGTAGAGCTGGGAATGACATCAAGGGTCATCAAGTCCAACCCCCTGCAAAAACAGGAATCCAGCCTCTGATTAAAACCCAGAGAATCCTCCTCCTTCATTGAGGTATCCCATGGGAAGGTTGCAGAACAGAATACTTGTACTTTGGCCAGCGATACCTGTGCTTGGTTTATTTGTTTCCTGCTGACAGATAATGCATTGTTTTGGTTTACAAAAGGATGTTTCTTTCACTGAGCCCTCGGGAGACGAAGTGCGTTGTCCACACACAAATTTATTTGCCAAGTGGGAGGTGGCTTGATATTTTCCTGTCTGGCCTTGTGTACACATCTCATGCTGAGGGGGAGCTCCTTGCCTGGGCTTCGGTCCACGACCTCTCCCCTACTTCTGAAGGGAGCAAAGGTTCTGTAACACCCACCCCACCCACCACCCCCAGATGTGGTCCACGCTTGGCAGCTGTGTGGCCCTGTCCCCTTTGCTGCGAGTGCCAAAGTCTGGCTTGATAGCTGGGAGCAACCAGAGGCGCCACTGTCACTTGGGTGGCAAAGTCTATTGTCCTGGTAGAAATCACAAACATGGGGCAGGGTTTTCTTACACTGTACCAGCATTAAGAACGTAAGATGAGCATCTGCTGGATCCTGGCCCATCTAGTCCAGCATCCTAATCTCACAGGGGTCAAGCAGATGCCCCAGAGGAAAACCCACAAGTAGGATTTGAGCCCAAGAACACTTTCCATTCCTATGACCCATGGTGGGACAGCATAGCCATCGTGGCTAGTTGCCATTGATTGCCCTCTTCACAAATTTGTATTGCTCCCCTTTGAAGCCATGTGGCCATCACTGCCTCCTATGGGAGCGTGTTTAATTGCATTCCACTTTTAATTTGTATGTATTCCGCCTTTCTCTGTTACTAGACACAAGGCGGTTTACAAGCTGAAGAAAGAACAAAATACAGTGGACCCTCGGGTTGCGAACGTGATCTGTGCGGGATGCATGTTTGCAACCCGTCTGTGCATGTGCGGGTTGCGATTTAGCTCTTCTGCTCCTGTGCAAAGCGTGATTTAGCGCTTCTGCGCATGCACGGCCTCCGAAACCCGGAAGTAACCTGTTCCAGTACTTCCGGGTTTTGGAGCGTCTGTAACCTGAAAAATACAACCTGAAGCGTCTGTAACCCGAGGTATGACTCTAGACAGCAAAGGTCACACACCTAATAACAATCTGATTCGATACAAAAAAAGTCACAGTAACTTTAAAATAAACAACTTATATTGAATAAAGAAATATTCAGCAATCCATGGTTCTGTGGTTTAACTCTGCACTTTCTTTCATCTTTCCTGAATCTTCCAGCATTCAGCTTCCTTGGGTTTCCCTACTGAGATCTAAATGTTATGAGAGAAGGAGAAAAGCAGCTTTTCTTTAGCCACTTCCTCCATACCCGGCATAATTTTATAAACTTCGATCATGTCACTTTTTAATCCCCCCTTTCTCTAACCTAAAAAGTCCCATAGGCGGCAACCTTTCTTCATAGGGGAGTTGCTCCACCCTCTCGATCATTTTGCTTGCCTTTTTCTGAACCGTTTCCATCTTCACAATAATGAGATGACCAGAAGCGTTCACATTTGCCAACCAGCCCCCTCCATATGTTTTGGACAAACTCTCACCTGCTCCAGCATCCTATGGTCTTGGATACAAACCCCAAACACCTGGGGAACCCTAGCCTGCAGTAGGCTGCAATAGACCACAAGCCATGTTGATTTATCCTAATGGTAGGGGACTTTTGTTTGCTGCTGAGAGCTACATCCCCTCAGGGAACTCTTGGGGGTCATGTAGGGGCAATGGGCAGGGTTGAATCCAGCCATGGGCAGGGCCAGAGCTACTGTGGGCAGGGAACCCCACTTTTCTTTCTCTAGGTCACCCTGTTCCCCCCTCCCTCACCTGTATGAAATTAGGCTGAGAAGTACTGTTTACAACAAGTGATTTGGATGCAAATTTGACTAATGTTGGGTCAGTATTTTCAGGTCATCTCAGATCAGCATCTCTCCCTTGCCTCTTCACATCCTTGGGGTGCAGCTAGAACTGGACCTCAGGGCCAGAGTCCAGGGCCCCCAAATGATGACCCAGAGCAGCAAACAGGCCCCATGTCAGCATCAGAGCCCTTTTTGCCTTCTTACTTTTAAAAACATTTTTAGTTGGGGGCTGGCTAGGTGTGCAGATAGTTACAGATGCTCGTTTTGTTATTTCCACAAGCTGTTTGTGCACCTGATCCCTGCCTTCTCCTCTGAGGAGGCCACAGGACATGGGCAGGACCCTTCCTCTCTGCCCCATGCTGTGTCGGGCCCTGGTGAGAAGCCCTCTCTTCAAAGCAAGCCAGGTGTGTTATTGCTGTTGACAGCAGCCGCCATTCTTCTCAACAGCTGGGATCTTGCTGGACAGGAAACCTGCCAGCTCTCTCCTGGACAAATATTTGCCTTCTCAATCCCTTTGGCACGGGTCAAGGGGAAGAGGCAAATGCCAAGATGAAGAACAGGGAGGGCAGGTGGTTGTCAAGTCCCAGAATCAGTACCACCACTGGCACTCAGCAGGGCACCCAGGTGATCCAAGCAGATCACAAAAGAGCTGCTGAGATAAACAGCTTTGCCAACGCAAGTGGAAACAGAGGGAAGAGAGGCAGCAGGCTCGGCCTTTCCCCGTGGGTGGTGTTTACTTGTTCATTGGCCTGCTCCCTGCCTTCCCAGCTGGAGATTTAGGCCCAAGGGGACCTTTGAGGAGCACACTGAGGAGACAAGCTTCCCTTGAACTTCAGCTGCCCACCCCACCCCACATCCTGGTTGAGCTTCTCCTGAAGTGTGCAGCTCAGAGGACAGGAGACTGTTTTCAGATGCATCTGGGCCACAGCCCATTTTGTGATTTAAAAATTAACCCTGCTGGTTTAAGAGCAGAGTTAAGGCTGTCTCATGTTGGGCTCTCAAGATGCTGGACCCTTAGGCTAAGGCCTTAGCAGGCATCCCAGCTGCTGGAATCCACGGGACGGGAGAGTGATCTTGTCCTCAAATCCTGCTTGCAAGCTTCCCATTGGGGCATCTGTTTCGCCACTGTGAGCATAGGATGCTGGGTCCCCTTTGGCCTGATCCAGCAGGCTTTTCTGTTCTTTTGCCTCGTGATCAGTGGTGATGCTGTGCTTGCTTGCAATGGGAGTTGTAGTCCAAAACATCTGGAGGGCAGCCAGGTTGGGGAAGGGGGTGGCACCTGGCTTTTCTGCTTCATATCTCAGGTTACCCCAATTGCATCTTTTGTAAGCACAGCATTGGGAAGATAAGTGTAGCTGCCAGAATGTTGGCAAGAAGATTTATAGTCAAAGGCACTCTGGGCATCTCCATCCCATATCACACAAACAAAGGAGGAGGAGATGCAGACCCAGGAGCAGAGGTCACAGTCCAGAGAAAAGGGACCACTGTGTCGCCAGGTCAGGTTTGGTCTACAGGCTGCCAGCTCACCATGCCAGATCTTCACCCTGCAGATGCTCTGTGGTCCTCACACAGGTGTCCCTCAGAAGGTATTCAATGCGAAATGGATTCACCAAAGCTTAAGAGATTGAGAAACCACCATTATTGTGTATTTACTTATTTTCCTACCATATTTCTAGTTTTCCTTTCACCCAAATGTCACAGGGCAGAGATACATGCAATTAGAAGCAAAGCTATACATGAATATTCAGACAGGCCCACAAAAATTCTATTCTGAGAGTTACCATCTTTCAGAATTGTCCAATGAAGCATTTATCAACAAATAAGTTATTTGGTCAGTAGGGAAGTGGGCATTCTGGCAGCCAGACAGATTTCAGGTGGTGGTGAGGCTTCCTTATTTAGAGATAAAGAAATAAATTCAGTGCTGCCCACCAGCTGGTACACACTGTAAGAAAACAGGTAGGTACAGTCGGTAAGGAGTAGGACGTGCTCTCCCTGCCAACTGTTTATGCCCTTTGGCAATGCCTTATCTCTCCCAGAGAGCAGGAGGTAGTCAAAAACAACTCTGTTGATTTCCTGTCCAGTTTGGCGCGCTGCATTAAAGCCTTCGCTCATCCGTGACTCAGCCTGGAAAAGAGTCTCCAAGGAAGTCCTGGTATAGCTTGGAGGAACTAAGCAAAGCACCTCCTAATATGGGTTCTAGAACTTCCTTGGGCCATGCTAACATTTCATGACTGATCTCTGCCTTTACTCCCTTATTAAATAGACGAGAAGGAAGGAGCACCCTCAAGTTCCTTCCTGCAATGCCCTCTTTGCTTATCACAGGAACCCTGTGCCTTCCCTCTCTCTGGGCAGGTCCTGTGCGCTTCTTTCTGCTGTAACAAGCAGGTATCCCTAACCTCATTGGGTTGGGGCAATGTCCCAGCTTCTTCTGACCATTTGCCAGGAGTTCTGCACACCCAACAAGCAAAGGGACATGTTGGCGCTATGGGAAATAGCCCCTCTACAAGTCCCCCAGGCGTCCATCTCCTGCACCACCGGCTTTGAACTCTGGGCATGGGAGGTGCCTGCCTGTCAGTCATAGAATCATAGAATTGTAGAGTTGGAAGGGACCATGCAGGTCATCTAGTCCAACCCCCTGCTATGCAGGAATATTTCACCCAACGTGGGGCTCGAACCCACAACCCTAAGACAGATCTAACACACATGTGCATTATTTTAGAGAACTTTGTTAAATAACTGAAAATCATTCCTGAGGTGTGTAGGATATGAATTGGGTCACTTTTTTCTAATCTTGGTAGTTCGGATGCCATCTTGAAGAATGGTGGCCATGACTAATGAGATTAATAAATGTTACTATCTCAGCACTTGTGTGACTAATTCGAAACTTATACATGACTAGTTATTCCAATAGTTTCAGAGCTTGATGAGTAATGCCCATTGTTTGATAGCTCTGAGCCAACATATGGGAAAAAAACGATTATTTGATTATTATTTTTGCCAACGTTATGTTGTAGAGTACTTATTCATTTGTTTATAGATACGCTTTCTAACACATCACTCTGTTTGCCTTACCAGCAAGTGAGATCAGAATTAGACAAACACAAAGTGCAGTATCAATATAATATTTAGTCAGATACAGCAAAATGCAATTGGAGGCAGGCAGGCAGCACAGATAAAACGATCTCTTCAGAAGCAACACAACTGCTCAGGGAGGCAAAGTCCTGTTAGAATAATAAAAGTCCTTAAAAATAGTTAGACGACAAGAAAGGGAACCAGCCCAGCTTCATGGGGCACCGTGGCCTCAGAAAGTTCCCAAAACACTTGTGCTGAGATTTTATTTGAATTGACTTGAATTGTAAGGAAAGTAATTGTGGGGGTTACTATTCAGAACACATGGAAGTATATTTGCTTGAGGGCATCGCAAGTAAATCAGTAACCAAACAATACAAATTATATTTTGAAAGCATGGTATGCCAAAAGAGATTGTGAGCGGCAACGCCCCTCAATGTTGCTTCAGCGACTCAAGAATATTTGCAAAAGAATGGGACTTTGTTCACAGTACATCGAGTCCAGCATGTATCGCCGCTTCTGATATAATATCAGGGCAAATGTAAGCTTTTGCTGTTGGTAAACAAAGCCCCTAAACATCTTAGGCCCAGGTTATCTGAAAGGCTGCCTTCTCCTATATAGACTCACTAGGACACTGAGATGATCAGATGAAGCCCTTCTGGTGGGTCAGGCACTCTGGAGGTTTGCAGAGCATCGCAACACCCACTTTGGTGAAATAGCCTTCCTGCTGACATCCGGTTCATTTCTGGACCCAATTTAAAGTGCTGGCAGTTACCTTCAAAGCCTCAAACAGTTTGGGGCCATGATTCTTAAATGGCAGCCTGCACCCCTATCAACCTGCCTCTGCCAAAAGATCCACTTCAGCACTCCTGCTTAGGCTTCTTCCTACACAGAAGGAACACAGAGCAGGTCCTTCTTGATAGTGGCTCCACCACTATGGAACTTTTGACACTGTTAAGTAGGCCTTAAAGACTTAGCTTTTACCTCTTGTGTTTTGTGATCCATGTGTGGTTGTGTTTTGGCTTTTGGTAGCAGTCATGTTGAGCTGGGTACTGTTTTGAAATGTTTGTTCTTGCGATTGCATTATGCTTCATTTGTTGGTATATATTGTGGCAACCCCCTTTTTGTTTGACTAGAGGTCTATCTACGGTATTTAAAATGAAAATGATCGTAGTAAAACAACAACAACAAAGCAACCAAAACCCT